AAGAATAATATAATTTTTCCACCAAATATTTTAAACATTTTTCTCAGCACTGTTCACTAAATTCTTATTCTCCCCCATATCCCCACCCACAACTTGTTAGTGATGACAATTGTATTATATCCTAAATTATCGCATATGCTAGACTTGGTTTCTATATATTCTTTTCCACTAATTCATGTGTTGATGTTGGTGCTACACACTTTTGATTATTATGATTTTATAGTGTATTTTAATTTTGCATGTGGTGAGTTTTTGTTGAAGGGGTTGGATATGAATGGATTTAAAAATCATTTTTCCTCTAAAACATCACTCTCGGAGCACTTGGTGGCTCAGGTGGTTAAGTGACTGCCTTCAGCTAAGGTCACCATCCAGGAGTCCCAGGATCCAGTTCCCCCTCGGGTTCCCGGCACAGCAGGGAGTCTGCTTCTCCCTCTGCTCCTCCCCACCTCTCATGCTCGCTCTCTCATGCTGTCTCTCACATAAATAAATAAAATCTTTTTAAAAAAAATTTATTTATTTGACAGAGAGAGAGAGAGATCACAAGTAAGCAGAGAAGCAGGCAGAGAGAGGGGGAAGCAGGCTCCCCATTGAGCAGGAAGCCCCATGTGGGGCTCGATCCCAGGACCCTGGGACCATGACCTGAGCTGAAGGCAGAAGCTTGCCCCACTGAGCCACCCAGGCACCCTCGATTAATAAAATCTTCAAGAAAATAAATAAAAATAAAACATCACCTCTCATCAAATGAATAATTTTTCACAGGCAGTAAAGAAAAAGATAAGTAGAGGTAACTCAAAGGAAAAGGGATGCTGTGATTATGTTATAGTCCTCAGAACCGTGCTCGGAATCTTTTTAGATAAAAAACATCAAATATATGGAATATTATACAATAGGCTTTCATACTTTATCCCTTTTGGAGACATACTAATTAGGCAATAAATACGTGTGGGATGACTGCATGTCCTTTTCTAATACTGGGTTTAATTTTATCCCATGCATTAATTGGTTATGTAGATACGTCACATAATTTCCAAGTAGCCCTGTTCTGTCCTGTTATTCTCCGTCAGAGCATCCTGCTCGTCTCCTGCCTGGCACTTACTGCAGTCTGTCATTTTTTCTTGTATTTGCTTGTTCATTGTCTCTTCTCCTTACTGTAACGGAAAGTGAAGATAAGGACCGCACTCATCATGTTTCATGCTTCATATTCAGTTCTTAGGCAGATGTTCAGTAACCATTTGTTGAAAAATTTGTTGAATTAATTTAATTCAAATAAACTTATTTTTCCAGAAGGATTAGGAAATAAACTCTTGCCTTCTGGAACAATGCTTGTCACTTTGTAAAACACAAATAATCCCTTCTCTGGAGAACTCAAATACATGTAACTTAACTGTTGATGACTAAAAAAACAATACATGTTTGGTAATGATTCATAAATTATATCATCATAAATCAGTTATCATGCAGTTCTGGAAAACATCCTGACTCTTTGGATTATGTGTACTGTATAAAACTTTTTGGATCCCATATTTTTGAATGTGGAATATAAGGCAGAGGGTTTGTGGTTTAAGACTTATGATAGAGACATAAAAGACCCGGGCTGAGGTGACTTTAGAAACTCTTGCCTTTTGTGGATGGAACCATAGCGCCGTTAAGCCCTTGAAGAAATATGGTTACCCTCGTGGACTGTCTTTCACGGCTCACTTTTACTTGGCCAGAAATTTAATTTCAAGTAATCATTGGGTAGGTGATGATGTTCTGCTGCCTCCTTGAGCTGAACGAATTAAAATTTGAAGTTCTCATAGTTTGTAAGTGGGTAGGAGTTCATTGGATATAGCCCATTAGTCACTTAATTTTTATGCTGTATAAATGGGGCGTCTCTGCCATTTTGCTTGAAAGGACTTTATGGAAAGCCATAAAGAGGGACGGTAAATTTGCAGCCATGTACTTTGTGACCACATCACCCCTTTTGGCTCAGTCCCCCTTTCAGGGATGATTCGTTGCAGGCAATTTCTTGTCCCAGTGACAGGGAGTAAATGTTCACCTTAAAATCCTTCCTTTTAAGAATGATTCCTTTCCCTGAGAAGTTCGTCTAAGCTCCTTTTTTTTTTTCTTCCCTCCAAACAAGGGAAATTGTGAGGCTCAGCAAAAAATGGAGGCACAAGCCAAGCAGAGTTGAAGTTGATTGCATAGAACATATATATATATATATGCATTTCTTCTTACCTTCATAAATTGCACTTTACTTTCAGGGTTGGTGAATCTAAATGGGGCCAAAAAGTGAAAAGGTGACAATTTCATCATTATTCATGAATTCCTTTTTGAGCTATTTCTTACTATCTTGTGTCTGTACAAAGATTTTCTTTTATTTTTAGGATGTCAAAAAAGTGACACTGTGTTTCCCCACTCCCTCATAATCCTGTATTTGTAATTTAAAATGTAGAGAATTTGTATATACTTGTGTATAACTTAAACAGAGCAGGCGGAAGTTATTTTGGTTTATATCAGAAGCTCAACACACTATTCTTGATATTAAATCTTAAATTATTGGCGATTTCCATTTAGACATTTTTTTTTTTTATCATCATGAAGCTTGAAATAGGTCTAACCCATTATGGGAGTATGAATCAAGGTTGGTGTTTTATTTGCCATTCCTTTGTTCTAAAATTTCATTAGACATTTTTTTAGTGAAAAATTAATTGATCCTGTGGTGGTGGTGATAAATCATTGCAAGTGAAGACAAATTGATTTTTGCACCACCTCTCACTTGTTTCAATCTTAGTGGAATTAACTCTATTAGGTTCTGAGACTGTTTATGGGTATTATAAAACATTTACATCTTGATGTATTAAGGTACTTGAGTGGGTTTTAGCCATTATTAAGGGAATTATATTAGGATTAGTCTTGTTATCAATCTCTGTATCTGGCACCTAGCTAAGAACTGGCTGTTTTATCCTCATTAAAGCCATAAATAGAACTTCATTAACTAGCACATGCCAAGTGCCAAGGCTGGTGGCAAAAACTTCTGCTTTAGAGGAGACCATGGGTTCCTGAGCATCACAAGTTAAAGAATAAGTCGCTGACATTTTATAAAGAGCTTTCTCTGCAGAAAAGTGCCCTGCCCCCTTGGAGTTTGAAAATACCACAGGAGGTGAAGATTCCATGGAAACTTGAAACAATCGGGACTGACGGATTTAATCCCTTTGATGTACTTGTGAAATTCTCACTAAAGACAGATCTAATTCTGTACTGGCCTTGAGGAAAGAACACTGAGAGTGACTGTATAGAAGATTGTTATGGAGAAGTAATATGTAAACAAAATATTGAACATTGACCATGCAATACATTTGCTCTTGAGTAAGGCTCTGGTTGTTGGGTTTGATTTTATTTATTTGAATTTTCTTTTGCCATCAAGATTAGTTCTAATCAGCTTAGACAAAAACTGGCTGAAAGATTATAAACAAAAGATAATGGTAAATGGTAGTGTTCCCACTTGGCCCAGATCTGGGGAGAATGGAGGAGAGATTCATAACAGCTTGGGCTAGGTGAGGCCTTTTTTTTTTTTTTTTTTTAAATGATCTGGAAAAGAAAGTAAATTGCCTGCTAATGAAATTTGCAGACAATATTAAATTGGAAGGTGTTGCAAACAGGAGCATGGACTGAGGATAGTATGCAAGCCTTCCCTAGGCAGGTTGAAAATATGAACAGAAAAGATTAATATGAGATTAAACTTGGAAAAGACAGGCTAATTCATTTTGGGGGGGTGGTTAGGGAGAGGGGAATAAAGGGAATCCTGACGTGAAGCTGATAGGAAAAACCACAAGCACAGATATCAACCACAGAGATAGGGGAGAACACACCAACATTCTATGCAGGTTTCTGTGGTGTTATCCCAGAGGCTCTCCCTTATTCCATGGCCTGATCGAGTTAAGCTGTAGTCTCCCAGATCAGAGCCTCCCTCCATCATTGTTGTGCACAAACGCTGGGGCGTCCCTCTGCCTGCTCTCCTTCCATTTTCCAATCTCTTCCTTTTTTTCATTCTTTCGTACCCATCAGCTCACCCACCTCTAGTCTGTAGCATTTATTTCTGGTATCTTCAGTAGGAGAAAGATGGAGACAGATTGGGGAAAGGCTGGCAACAGAGAGTGAAGCAGATTAAGGGAAGGGAAGGCTTAATTTATGAGGAGAGATTAAAGGCGTTGAATTTGCAAAGCTCGTCCAAGCAGCATCTAAAGGAGGACACAAGTGCAGAGGCACTTAGGTGATATAAACAGGAAGGTGGCCGTGACATTGTTTAGCCCTATGAGCAGGGGTATTGCCAGAAGTAATTAAGATAGGGAAATTATATAATCAAAATTCATTGCAGGAGAAAATTAAGGGTTGGAAATGTAGTAGTCTACGTGTCCATCCCAGTCAGTACCCAAACCAGGCACATCTGAAAGGTTTTGACTGCATTGAATGTGTATTTGTATGAACAGGAAATCCAAGAAGCAAACCAGCATGTATACACCTTCATATGTAAAATTGGTGGCAATTTCTTTTTACTTTACATATATATATATATATATATATATATATATATATATATATGCGTGTGCATGCGTGCGTGTGTGTGTGTAGTATCTAGTAGGATAGTCTTACATCTGTAAGCAGATCTGCATGTTGATAGCCCATTGACAACATGAAAAGACAAGGGAGCTATCACCTATTGAACATCTGGTGGGGGCTGTAATGAGATATGGTTATATTGAGCAACGGACATTCAGAGATGCTTACTCTGTGCCAGATGCTGGGAAAGGCAATTTACAAATATCTGATTGAATTGTTGCCATAGCTTTATGACATAGGCTCTGTTATGATCCCATTTTACAGATGAGGAAAGCAAATTTCAGAGATGTCTGTACACTGGCCAGTGTCACTCAGCATGGGAGCAGAGGAGCTTGGAGATTACAAAACGACTCTGGACCCATACTTTAAAATAGTAGGTCATGTTGGCAGATAGGTACACGAGAACATCACCATGAAGATGTCAGAGAGAAATAGCTTCACTGAAGGTGTGAACCTTGCAGGTTTTGATCTTGAATTTATAGCACTGGAAGGAGGGAAGTACTCAGAGTAAAGGGACTCAGCATGGAGTGGGGACTTTGTTTTTATGGCAGTGCTGAGTAAGGAATAGCAGTGCTGGTGATAATAGTAGTAGCAGTATTCATAAGAGTAGCAGTCGAATTCCTTGAGTGTTCAGTGAATCCCATAATAATATTGATGTTTTATATGCATTCCTCATGAAGGATCATGAAGGTTAGAATAATTAAAAACAAAAACAAAAACCAAACCTGCCCACATATCACTGCATCTCTGTGAAGTGACCTGGGTTGGAACCCAGGCAGTTTGACCTAAGCTACCTTACCTCCTACCTGACTTAAATGTAACTTGGAAGGACGTTAGACCATAATGAGCATACAGGGACCGAAAAAGGGTAAGCATTTATTATCAGGCAAAACAAGGACGTATTTTCTATGCACAGTAAGTTATTAACTGCTTCTGAGTAGAGAAAGAATATTATCTCCGTATGCTGAGAAGAAAAGTTCTGCATTAAAGGTATCACCTCTAAGTTTAAATTTTGAGAGAAGCTATCTTCATCTAAATTCACAAGTATTGACTAGTTCTTGGGAACAGTCCCAGATTGTGCACAGACCAGCATGCCCAACCCTGGAGACAGATGGACATGGTGTAATCTAGAAGTGAAACATCTAGGGGGGCATTTTAACAAGGTGATTTTTGTCTCCTCTTTTTTGAACACTGGATTTGACATCTGGTTATGATTTCAGGGCCTTCTTAGTCCTTGGACTATGACCTTTTCTCTTAAGGAATATTTGAGCAATCCATCTGATTTCTGTCAACCTGGAAGACTTGCAGTACCACGGAGAGCGAGCTTTGCCTAATAACAAGGCTACTTATTTAATGACCATTTCCTCTGTGCTGGATACATCATTAAGCATTTTGCATGCATTGTCTCATTCAGTCCACTCTTACAACCTACATGTTAGGTAAGCACGGGTACGCTCAGTTGAAAGAATCAACATTTCAAAAAATTGAGTGGTTTTGTGTAGATTGTCACACTGTTGCAAAGTGACTAAGCCAGGGTTTGATCCAACATCTAGCGGACACTACTATTATTTTCTATTATGCAATTTTCTGTTTATTCTGGTTTATCCCATTTCTCCTCAAGCAGGCTCTGCAGTTGTAATGGAAACATCAACAACCAGATGTCCATTTTCTTGGTTTAGTTACACTGGGTGAACTAATAGTATTTACAGGTATCAAGCAGCATCAAAAACAGGAAGAAAATGAATATTCCCTTAAAAGTTGGGTGATTTTAACTCCAGGAAGGATGACTAACTCCATGCATAGTTATTTCACTAGTTCATCCATATCTCTCTGTGTGTCATGAGCCTAGGAGTGACAGAGATTCAGTGACACATTGTAGAGGGATCTACAATGAATACATACACACAGGTGCATACTTTTTCTTTCTTTCTTTACAATCCTCTAATTAGTAGTTGCATATCTCTGGTAAGTCCTCTGTGGTTTGACAGTGAGTGGCAGAGATATGGCCAAATTATATGCAATGGCATTTTTAATTTATTGCCTACTCCTGTCTTGTCTAATGCAAAACCAACTTTGTTCCTGAAGCTGTTCTCATTTTGAGGGAAAGAGAAAGGAAAGGTTTTCCAAGTGCATGGCTACGAAGCAGAAAAGCAATTCTTTATGTTGATTCGAGTGGAGTATTAGAATGGACAGAGGGAAGCAGCTTCTCCTATGCTTGTTTTTACTGTTATTCCATAAAGAGCATTAGCTATTAATTAGACTCGCACAACATCTAGGCCATTGGTGCTCAGATGGTGGATGATAATCATTTCACCCCATTATTCATATTATCTACTTAGCAGCTAGAAAATATAATTTCTCTTGCAATTTTATCCCTTTTCATTCTTTGGCTTCACTAATGGCACGGAAATTAACTAGTTCGCTCAATCTCTTTGCCTAAGCCATCAGGACTGCCTAGGGGTAGTTCAGAAATCAATTTTCAACCAGTTCACACCTGTACCTAAAGCAAACACCAATGATGCTTGCTGGTACGCTGCCAACATTTGGAAGAGTCACCGTGCTAATGAGGCCCTAGCATATACTGTCCTGCCCAGATGAAACATGACATTCAGAACAAGTATTGAAGATGCTAGTTTGAGGTGTATTACAGAGTTAGGGCAAATGTTTCCATTCACTTAATGCGATTTTCCAACCTCTATGCTGGAGGAAGAAACCACGACAATAATGTTTTATAGCTTTTAATATGGTGTTAGTGTTTTCCTTGAGTCAGGACAAGTTGGGCATGATTCCAAAAGGTGGAGAAGTCCTTGGTTTCTTTCATGCCACCTTGTAAACTGAACGACTATTCAATCATCAGGCAGAATGCCCCTGACCTCAGAGGCTCTGGTAGGAATGGAAATTATTTTTCTTGATCAGTCATTGGTATTCAGTTAAGTGCTATACATGCTGGGTTATCTTAGAGGTATTGAGACTCCATTCACATTATATACAAGTGTATAGAGAACACATTGTTCTTCTTCTTCTTCTTTTTTTTAAATGTTATTTATTTATTTGTCAGAGAGAGAGAGGGAGTGAGAGCGAGCATAGGCAGACAGAATGGCAGGCAGAGGCAGAGGGAGAAGCAGGCTCCCTGACGAGCAAGGAGCCCGATGTGGGACTCGATCCCAGGACTCTGGGATCATGACCTGAGCCGAAGGCAGCTGCTTAACCAACTGAGCCACCCAGGCATCCCCACATTGTTCTTCTTATTAAAGACTTATTAACTACAATTTTTGAACTGGGGTGAAAACAAATACACTTCCAAATGGCTAGTATGTTTGTTATTCCCTTGCCTGACACGTAAAACCCTAGGGCACAGGGGAATTTACAGAAACAAGGGTTTAAAAGAGACACAAAAAATTGGGTAGGCTCACACTGAGGAAAGCAAGGAAGCCTCAGAAATTTTGATTTTACCATTGTAGTTTCATTTCAGTACTAAACTATAGGGATTTAAGAAAAACGAAAATTAAAAATAATGCCTAAATATACTGAAGACTCTGTCACAGTGATACGGGGGTGGGGGTCTTTCTGTTATTTTGCAAATTTAGAATCCTAGATACTAAATATATTAAGCAAAGTAGGAAGTAAATTTTGCATAAGCCACCATGACAATGGCATTTTATTAGAAATATGGAAAGAACCATAGAATGGAAAATTTAAGAGTATTTCTGTAAATGTGAATTTGGAGGGCATGTGAGCTGAATAAAAAGGGATAGAGACCATTTCTTGTGGTATAGATAAGTTCAGTATTCACAATGACAGTCTATTTCTCAGTCCATGGGAGTCAGTCACACTGAAATCCCACATCCCTCTATATGCCTAAAGGTTTTCATCCTCCAAACACCTCCAAAACCTCTTGGGTGTTGCTGAGTGTTGATTCTATGTACAATAAGAGATATGTCTGTGTTCTTGGCTTCATACTCTCTTAAGTGTATAATAGTTTCTACCCTTCCCCCTGGTGGGAGGTTTTTGTTTAAGGATGTAAATGACCATCACTTGGGCTTGGATCTCCTCCCTGATTTTCCTGCCCCACCCCAGTCCTAGTGCATCAGTCTTTGTACTTCTGTAGTCTCCATGGCCATAAAAGGAGGATAGGGTCTGTTAGCAACATCAGGGAAGATTTTGATTCTAGGTAGATTCCATTCCTCTACTCTCCTCTTTGTGAAAGCTCTGTTGTGTCCAAGATATCAGATTCTACCAAAAAGCACGTTATTTACATTGATGGCCCATTAACACAACATGTAACCCAAGGAGGAACGCCACAATAAATCATCAGTCACATAATTAAATAAATTGAAGCTTCTTGTCTAAAAGTGGGATAACAAACAGCCGGTGAAGCATTATTTATTTCAAACCAAGCTAATATTGTTAGAGTAAACATTAAGGCAGGTGAATGTATTGCCTCAAAATATTAATTATACACTGCTTTGGCACCGATAATAAATGTTCAAGTATAGCCTTCTTTCCAAGAAAAATGCTGAATTATGTTACAAAGAAACACTGAATAGTTCTAGAGAGACTGACTCTCAGGAGGAGACTGATGTCAGTCATGGAGTCTGTTTTTAGTTCTCCACTACTGTTTTCTTCTCATGCAAATGTCTCTGAAGGCCAAGTCTTCTTATATTTTAAAAATTTATTATTAAGGACACATTCCCAATGACTAAATTTGGAAAAATTCGGAAGTCTTAATAGAAATGTGTGAGAACTTATTTTTAAAAAATATTTTATTTATTTATTTGACAGAAAGATATCACAAGTAGCCGGAGAGGCAGGCAGAGGGAGGAGGAAGCAGGCTCCCCACGGAGCAGAGAGCCCGACGCGGGGCTTGATCCCAGGACCCTGGGATCATGATCCGAGCCGAAGGCAGAGGCTTTAACCCACTGAGCCATCCAGGCGCCCCGAGAACTTATTTTTTAAAGATTTACTTATCTTTGAGAGAGAGAGAGAGAGAGAGAGAGAGAATCTCCAATCTCCAATCTCCCCCGTGAGTGCAGCCCAATATGGGGCTCAATCCCACAACCCATGAGATCATGACCTGAGCTGAAACCAAGAGCTAGATGCCCAACTGACTGAGCCACCCAGTTGTTCCAGATGTGTGAGAACTTTTGAAATGACTGACCTCAGTGTGAATCCAAGCTTGATGTCCCTCCTTCTTCCTGGTTGCCATGGATGAGTTACTTAATGTCTTTGCCTCCATTTCTCTTTAATAAGTTGAAGATGCTGGTACCTGCTTTCACGAGGGCTGTAGGGATTAGCATAATATGTTTATTACACTTAGAATATGGCAGCCTTGTAGTTGATACTGTAACTACAATGGTGAACCCATGGTCATGAGTAATGTGAACTTAATATTTTGTGAGTTCTAGGAGAT